AATGGTCTAAACCTTTAGGCCATGCCGCTCGGTGATGACCTAGGTACATATCTTTACGATATTTTGGTATATAAGATTATTCTTATTGAGATTATCCTTATATACTTTATGGAGTGAATCTGCCTGTTCGCCGATCTGCTTTAGATCTCCACCACCTTTTTTAAATGCCAATAATAAGTTAAAAAACCTCTAGACATGGTTAAAAATTTTATTGAATTAGTTTTCGGCCACTTTATCCTTTATAAAACTGGGGTGCCTCTATTTAAAGATATGTGTCTAATCCTATTAAAAATAAGTACATCTTTAACACATATGTATCGAAGTATTTAAAAATATAATTTATTATCTTCTTATTTCGTATTTGTTACAATTAATTAGAAAAAGTTCCACGAGTACGAAGTAATCAGTAAAAAGTAATAATAAAATTATAAATACCTGACATACTATACCATTCATAAACTGCAAAGATGTTGATGCAGTCAGACTGAAAAGGATAAAAATGTGTTTAAACAAAGTTTATTATCTGTATAATCAGTTAAATAACAGATAAATATTTAGTTGCTTTTAATTTTACATAATGATAAGAAAATTTCATTGCTGTAAAAGGATTATATGGATAAAGTTTCAGTAAATAAATTGAAACTTCATGATATTTACAGAAGATTTATTAAAAGACAAAATATAAAACAATACACAAGGTAGTCAGTTATATTAAAATACTTTTTTTAATCATTTTTGTACAGTTCTCTTTTCTAACAGTATTAATGAAAGCTTTCAACACCATTTCTTGCAAACAACCAAAATTAAATCAACTTAATTTTCAAAAAGGATAAAGCGGTGAAGAGTATGTTGGATTTCAGTTATATTTTTTCCAAAAATAACCTGGAATAATTTCAATTGAGATTCTATGTATGGTGCACCCTTCAAAAGATTGTTTTCACAACTTTAAATACAATTTTCCTTAGGACCAAAGATCCACAAAATGTTTGTAAATTTCTAGTGTAGATGTGGGGACAATTGTAGCAACTACAAAAGGATTACGAGAAGCTAACAGGACATTTAAAATATTCAAATTAGAATCAATGGAATAGTTAGAGATCGCTTTAAATAAAATGGATATAAATAAAAGTAAAACAAAAATACTGGTATGCAAGGGAAGAAAAACTAGGGAAAGAGCGAATGAAAAGATAGGAGACGAAAAATTAGAAGAAGTGGCTGATTTTCGGTATTTAGGGACTCAGATAAGTAAGGACGCAAGGAGTTGTAAGGATACAAAGCAGAGGATAGCGCAGGGTCGAGTCGCCTTCAATAAAAAGAAGTCACTTCTATGCTAGCGAACGATTAATTTAGAAAGTCGAAAAAGATTGTTACAGGTATATGTTTTGAACACGGCACTGTACGGGTGCGAAACATAGACGGTGGGGGCGACCGAAAAGAAAGGTTAGAAGCGTTCGAAATGTAGTGTTACAGGCGTATGATGAGGATACCGTGGATAGAAAAGGTTAGAAATGAAAAGGTATTAGAAAGAATAGGAGAACAGAGGACTCTATGGAAGTCAATAAGAAATAGGCGAGATAGGTTGGTAGGACACCTTCTAAGGCAGAGACGTATTAGAGGCAGAAACAGGAGTTAAGAGGAGTATAAGTGAACCTAGATTAGATTATTGTGTTAAGGGGGTGTGGATGGGGGGGATCGAAAGAAGATGTCTCCTCCACCACTGTACCATAAAAAGTTCGTGGCGGTCTCACTCCCATAAAAAGTTATAGGGGTTCAAAGTTAATAAATATGCCAATTTTTATACATTTCTAGACATGTAAATATTTATATAGTCATTCTTAAACAATATTCAAAGGTAAAACTAATGAAAAATACATAAAAATATTGAGAAAGTTATATAAAACATTATTTAAATATCTTTATCAATAGGGTAGGTTACGTTAGGTTATTGGGTTTTGTTGAAGTGAGCACCCTCTTTCGATCCCCCACCTCCACCCGCTTGAAAATATTTTTTTACTGAATTTTATTTGAATTATAGTGTATGAAAATTGTCAAAATAATCAACTTTCAACCCCCATAACCTTTTATGGGGGTAAGACCGCCGCAAATTGTATATGGGGTTTTACTCAGGTGACTACCCTCTTTCGATCCCCCCTACCCTCTTTCGATCCCACCGATCCCCACCCCCGAAGGGGGCCATCATCTAGACATTTACCGATTATTGTTCGCAGATAATTAAGCAGGTGGGTTGTGCTAGTTTTAAGGAAATGCGAAGATTAGCTCAGGATAGGATGGAGTGAAGGTGCGTGTCCAACCAGCCTTAAGACTGACGATCTCATGATGATAATTGGTACGTAAAGGGTATAAAAGTAAAGTTAAAACCAATATAAAAATATAAGACGAAATTCTCGAAGATGTCGTTGCTATTTAGAGTGTCAGAAGAAGTGGTAGAAATAGTCAGGGCAGGATGTTAGTATCACCCCTTTTCGGGCATGCAGGATTGATTAGAAATATGTTGGATGCAAATACAGGAGTTAAGAAAAGAAAGTATGCAATTAAAGGTGCAAGTTACTCTAGTTCTTATGATAATAATAAAATGGTACAGAACTCTGACATTTGTATATAATTGAATCCGTTTTTTTTTGTTGTATACTCGTTATTCGCTATCAAATCATAAAAATGGTAGGGGAACGCAGTTATTGTACGAAAGTTTGTAATGTAAAATGTAATGATCAATCAACTTTGTAATAAAGTTGCTCGCGGCTTGCGAGTAGTAGCAACCGCTTCTCGAGCTGCTATTCAGAGAGCGGAATCATTAGTTATCAGCAGAGTTTATATTCATTATTTGTTAACAATAGTAATTGTATTAATAAGCAATAGTAACATAAAAATATAATGTGTGATTCGGACCATACAATTATGTGATGCCTGGTGATTATTATCGGCAAAATATGCGAAGAGAACAAAACGGCTGACGATCGCGAAAGAGAAAGTGCTACAACTATCAATTTTATCGTTAGTTAAAGTACATTCAAACATTTTACGACACGCAATATTTGAATACTTACTAAAATGATACAATTATCGTAAGTAAAGTTTTTTTAATGATCACACATCTTTTGCACAAAGGTTTTCGTTTTCAGTTTTTTAAATTTTACCCTCCAAAATATTAGGTCTCATTCGCACGCACAACATACCTCAATCAAAATCGTATTTCAACTTAATTATTCAAAAATTAATTAGTGTCAGTGATCATCGACGATCACATCAAACACTAATTTGTCTATCCTTCGGGAATAGAATTTACCTTGTGGATAAAAAGTAGCCTATATCCTATTCTGTACTCATGAAAATATCTGTACAAAATTTCATGATGATCGATTGAGTAGTTAAGATGTGAAATGGTAATAAACAAACACAAACAAACTTACATTCGTATTTATAATATTAGTTAGGATTAGGATATTTATGATTAGATATCCTCTGAAACATGAATAACTCTAGTTAGAGATACGATAGAAGCAGAAACAGGAATAAAGGGGGGCAGAACTTTAAAAATGCAACCGATTTTTTCAAATTCTTTTTCAGACTTTTAAATTTTTATTGAAAGGGGCAAACAAGTACTACACCTGAATAATTTATTTGCTACAGTGTTGGTTATAGTTTTCATTTAAAGTAATGACTCCAGGCTATTTTGCTTTAGGCATTTAGTATCAAAAGTAGACATTGTATAAAATTAAAAGATTCTAAAGCATTTTGAGTTGTATCATCATAGGGAAAGAGCGAATATAAAGATAGGAGACGAAAAATTAGAAGAAGTGGCTGATTTTAGATACCTAGGAAGTCAGATAAGTGAGGATGGAAGGAGTAGTAGGGATAGCGCAGGGTTGTGTCGCCTTTAATAAAAAGAAGTCACTTCTATGCTCGCGAACGATTAATTTAAAAATTCGAAAAAGGTTGTTAAAGGTGTACGTTTATAGCGCGGCGCTGTACGGGTGCGAAACATGGACAGTGGGCGCGGCGGAAAAGAAAACGTTAGAAGCGTTCATAATGTGGTGTTATAGGCGGATGATGAGGATATCGTGGGTAGAAAAGGTTAGAAATGAAGAGGTATTGGAAAGAATAGGAGAACAGAGGACTCTATGGAAGTCAATAAAAAATAGGCGAGATAGGTTGGTAGGACACCTTCTTAGGCATGAAGGTCTAGTCAGAGACATATTAGAGGCAGAAACAGGAGTTACGAGGGGTAGAGGTAGACCTAGATTAGATTACTGTTCTAGTTTTAGGGAAATGCGAAGTTTAGCTCAGGATAGGAAAGAGTGAAGGTGGGTAACCAACCAGTCTTAGGAGTGACGACCTTATGATGATGACATACAGGCAACCTACTGTAACAAGTAAAAAAAACTTGACTAGACTACCTTCTTTCCTTCACCCCATAAAATTGTCATCGTCGGCCTTAATACGGACCTTATATGGTTATAACAAACGTCCACTCTCTAATAATTGACTCCAGAAGATTATTCATCATAATTTCTTTTGAATAATAGTTGTTATTAAGAAGCAAGTTCACCATGATGCTTTTCAATTTTTCTTATTTATTATTTATCATGAAAATGTAAATTCCAAATGGGAAGGTAGTTCAGTCCGATTCAAACAAATTAATTTACATTTGATATACATTGCAACCTGGGCCTCTTTACTTTGCTATTAAAAAAAAACAATAACGTTATTGTTATTAAAATAATTCGAATGTAGCATCGGACTACAGATGGCGTTTACCTCGCCATTTGTGGTATTTTCTAAAAGTATTGTTATCATTAAAAGGGGTGCTTTTTCATAAGAAATAAAAGAGAAAACACTTAACGAAATTATATCGATTAAATTTCACTTATTGCTTCAGAATAATTTTTTATACCTAATACTTAAACTGATAAAGTTGCAAACTGAACATGAAAATTTGAATAGAATAATAAATTATCACTTACAAAGGTGACTGGTACTTGAAGCATTAAAATATATGTACCTCCCCCGGTCAATTTTCAATTGTTATTGTACCGTAATCTACTAACACGAAAAAAACTATAAAAAAAAAGACGACATAAAAAAATTGCGGTTACATTAAAGTGGTAATAAAATATTAATGGAATTCAATAAACATAATTATGTATTCAATGGGCGTAATAACAGGACATTGTGACCTTTAAATGTCCGTAGGTACGAGAAAAACAGAAATACATTTTCTTTTAATTAACAGATTAAATATTTGTAATCGCTATCAGAGCAAATCATTGTATAATTCCATTTTAATGGGGAATGCTGTTTGATGCAAATTTAAAATGCAAATTGTGCGAATATGAATTATTTAATGTTATCGCTTTTAATGGTTCAATTTCATACCGTCATATAGGTAAATACCTCTCATCGTCACACATAATTGAGTTCGATTACTAAAGCTTATCTAATTCGTACTCATCATCATAAGGTCATCAGTCCTAAGACTGGTTGGACACGCACCTCCACTCTTTCCTATCTCGAGCTAATCCTAAAACATCTCACATTCTTAACTATTTATAAACAGTAATCTCATTTAGGTCTACTTCTACTCCTTTTAACTCCTGTTTTTGCTTCTAACACGTCTGTGAGTAGCCCTTCATGCCTTAGAAGGAGTCCTACTTATCTTAATACATTCGTAATATTAGATATTTATTCAAGAACCATCCACTCATTCGTAAAGACCAACGGTACATTATCATCCATATTAATTAATAGGTACCTGTACTTCGTTTAGTGTCTGTTGCGATGTGACCTTCAGTATGACCGGCGCAAAGTAGAAAAGAACAGCACTAGGCCAGAAAAGGAAGGAGACAACTCTCTTTACCGGTGAGGAGCGTATAATCCGTACAGTACTGCACGGAAAAATTGACCATTTTTTCTACTACAATTGCATTGCTCAAATGTGCTGTTATTAGTACCATTTACTACTGAAAATATCAACGAGATGTTTATTTATGTTTGAGGGCATTTTAAAGGCTTTAACGCTTGTTTTCGACTCGCACTACTATTCATGATTGAACAAAACTTTTGGCAGGTACTGTATGAAAAAGTATGTTTAATGAACAAGAGTCGAGAGTGTAATGAGCTTTTTTCTCCCTATCTACGATTTTGCCA